ATATTCGCCAACGAAGATTTAAAGGAGCTTTGGAACCAAGCAATAAAAAACGATGAAATATATGTCCAAGTCGCTAAGGCGGTACAAAGCGGAGAGCGCGTATGGCCCAAAGACATCAAGTTGCAAATAGAAGGTTCAAATGAGCCTACTCCGATTAAAGCAACGATCGCTGCTTGCGAATTTGACGATGATGTTGGGGTAGTTCGTTACCAAGGTCGGATATGGGTGCCTCTCTATGAACCTCTTACAACGGCAATTATACAGAACGTTCATGACTCAGCCGTCACTGGCCATCCTGGAAGAGATGCGACGCTTGCACAAGTCGCTAGAGAATACTTCTGGCCGGGAATAAGCAAGTCAGTCAAACGGTTCTGTAAAAATTGTCACGTGTGCAGAAGGTCATCAATTTGGCAACACCAGAAACAGGGGCTTCTGAAACCGTTACTGGTACCTGATAGATTCCATCAAGAGCTTTCCATTGACTTTATGGTGGAACTTCCTAAATCAAATGGTGCAACAAATATCATGGTAATCACTGATAGACTGTTGAAATCAGTGACACTGGAGGCTATGGACAAAATGGATGCAGAAACTTGCGCAAAACGATTTATAGAATGTCATTGGCGTTACCATGGATTCCCAAAAGCATTAACTAGCGATAGAGGGTCAAATTGGACGAGTAAATTCTGGAAACAATTGTGCAAGTTAGTTGGAATTGAACAGAGGCTGAGCACAGCCTACCACCCTCAAACCGATGGAGCAACGGAAAGAATGAACCAGGAAGTTCAAACATACCTGCGAGCATATATTTGCTACACCCAACATGATTGGTCTGATTCACTTGCTGCTGCTCAAATTGCGATAAATAATCAAGATGTTGTATCCTTAGGCGGCATAAGTCCATTTTTTGCAACACATGGATATCATGTGAACCCCATCCAAATTGTTACTAATCAGTCAATCATTCCAGCATCTACAGGAAAAGAAAGGGCTGAACAATTTGTCGAAAGGTTAGAAAAGGTCACCATTTTTTTGCAATCTGCCATGGTAGCCATTCAGGAACGATATAAAGATTTGACAGATAAGAAGAGACAGCCAGCACCAAGGTACGAAGTCGGTGATAAAGTTTGGCTCCTTTTACGGAATATTAGATTGGAAGATCAACCTTCCAAAAAATTAGGCTGGCAGCATGCAAAGTATACTGTCACAAAAATAATTTCGCCTGAGGTAGTGCAACTGAATATACCGGGAAAAGTTCATAATAAATTTCATGTAGATTTGCTCATACCTGCAGAAGAAGATCCGTTGCCTTCACAAATACTAGAAGATGAAAACCCAGGACCAATCACTAGTGATGATGGCAAAGAAGAGTACCAGATTGACGAAGTGCTTAGGTGCAGAACAAAAAAGGGGGAGCGACAGGCTTTAGTGAAGTGGACTGGAATGGCACAGCCAGAGTGGACATCACTGATAAATTTGCAAGATGCTGTAGCTCTAGACGTTTGGGAGAAAAAGTGGGGTTCTGCGGAGACAAATAATGGGCCAGCATTAAGGAAAGAGAAGAGGAGAGGGTAAACGGGGGGGTAATGTTACGGTTTGACCGTTGTTTGAGCTTAGGTGGATACCTAAGCCTGATACTAAGAATCCTTACAATGAGGCTGTGTGGGGGTGGAGATGAAGCTGAACAAAACGGCACTACTACTTATTGAAAGGCTATGCTGAGCTGGAATGACGTACCGTTAGGATGAAGGTATGGAAGGAGGTAGCTATGGCTTTAAGAGAAGTAAAGTTCGTGAGTTATACTCTTAGGACTTGGATCAGTGGACGAACTTGAAGATATTCCCTAGTATTCTCAAGTGTGTAAATAATATGGAGATTATTATAATTTCCTATTGTATGAATTGCTTAAGTTATCTACGTGACAGGACCTTCTTCTATATACATGAATAAGGGGGTTCTGCACACTAGTGAATGTTCCAACATCTGTCCTTGTCTAACCGAGAAAGGAAGGATGTGAGAGATCCTAGCGCCAATAGATACCATTAGGAATCTATTGGGAAATACTATGTCGTACCAATGAGTGATGATTTAGGTCAATCATATCCCATGGCGCATGTGCACATTATTCTAATGTGAACAGTTTATTGTAATCCAGTCATGTTACTCACTTAATTACAACACTACTCAGGAGGCTGAAGCGTCATGACAACTTAGTGACACCTGGAAATACGTGGCTGGGTAGAAGTATTGAGCCTGAGGACAAGTCACTAGTCTGTAGATTCACGAGGAGGATTAACACCTATAAAAACCTGTTAGTAGTAGCTAGAGTTAGCTTTTCCCCTCATATAGTTTATTAAATTGATTTATTCATCACCAACTTGGTTTCCGTCACAATTTTAGGAAAGAAATGGCTCGAAGATCACGAAGCAGTAATTCATTCTAAAGAGCATCGCCTAGAGCTTCGTAAATGTGGTGGATCAGTTCATAGCGTCGATCGATGGCGGTCAGGTGAATTTTCCACTTGGGGACAGGATAAAGTTACAGGACTCTACAACGAAAGAAACGCAGAAGAGATAATCGAACTGGTACCACCAGTTTCTCTTTATCCAATCAGCAGTATAAAACCCATTTGTAATACAAGTCAAACTTTTGATCCAGCAGCTAAAGTAATTTCTTTTGAGGGTGATGAGCTACAGGCTCATAGTGCGAAAGGTGTTGAAATGGGAAATTATTGGAAGCAAGTAAGAAATGCCGTGGGAGATGGTAAAAGAAGCCTTCCCCAAGATATCGCCTTGAAACATAGAGACAATATCTCAGGATGTATGGTGGAAGCAGATAGAGTGCTGAGAGGTTGTGAAAATAGAATTCGAGTGACAAATTGTGAGTCACTTAAAACGGCTATTTTACAGCAAATACATGAAGTCCACCTTGCAGAACATTCAGGTCAGCTGTTACCAATAAGTGATGTCCAGAGATTGAAGGATGCGCAAGGTTTTGACCAAACATCAATTGCATCTGCGCAGCAACATTACGAGACCAGTGGAAAGTTGATTCACCGACAACCTGAGAAGTTTAAAGTGGAAGATAAGGTGTGGCTAGATCTACATCATATAAAAACTCCTCAACTTTGAAGAAGTTAGCATGGCCATACGCAAAGTTTGTTATTGTTGTTCCGGATGCACCTACAGTTTAGCTCAAAATGCCAAGAAAAAAATTTAAGAGCAATTTCACGTGGGATTAGCAAAAAGAGCTGGCTCAGATAGATTCTCAATTCAAATAAGAGAAGATTCCCAGAACCCCACTATAGTTGATAACTTATAGGGATCTGAATATGAAATAGTAATTGAAATTAGTTCCGGAGATTGGAAGAATTACACACTAGCCTCGAGTTTGATTAAGATATACAATTAATGTGTTTACTATACAAAGAAGTTTACTGATGTTTAATGGATAGTTAATTGTGATTCAATTGCTATAATTCTATATGTGTGGCAAGAAGTCCCTCTATATACATGACAGCTGGGTTTTCCGCACACTAGTGTGAACTCCAACATACTTCCTAATCTAACCTAAACGGGAAGGTTGTTGGAGATCCTGAAGCCAATATATGCTGTCAGGCATCTATTGGCTAATTACTATTCATGCCAGTGAGTGATGATATGGGTTAATCATATCTCATGGCGCCAGTGCATATTATTCTATGTAAGGATTCTCCTTCCCATCCTATCTTTAGTTTATAATTTTACCCTTCTCCTGATGTTGCTATGACAACAGAACAGTTCTTGGCACTGGTTATTATGTTGGTACTAGTTTAGGGCCTATGTTATGATGAGCTAGTGGGAGGAAAGCAAGTATGTGTATGATGGCTTGGTCTGTAGCTATAGAGTTCTTTACGCTTAGTCTTCTGTCACAACCACCACCTTCGGATCACCTCTGGTCACCTATAGTCACCTCTAGTTACCTTTCGCACCTTTAGTCACCACTAGTATTTGCTCGTATCTTTAGACTCTTTAGACACTTATATTACCCATTTTTAAACCTTTAGTTCTCCAAATTATCTCCAGTAGATCTTTAGTCATCCCTCGCAATCCGTCCGACCTCTTCTCGCCCTTCTATTCCACTTCAGGTCAAATGCCAACGCTCCAATTTGACATTCTAATATGTACTATTTGTCTACTGCAGTCATGTTGCTGCCTTAATTACAACAATAGTATCATTGCGACATGCAAAGAATGTTCGTCGCGGCGGTGGAATCTATCAGTAAGCATCAGTGAAATCAGTAATCAAAGCAAATCTTGAATGGGAGCCAGTAGAGGTTACCAAAGAAGCAAAAGCTCTTGACGATATTACAGCAAATAATGATTCCCCAGAGGACAGTGTCAGAGCTTATTATTTCGGTCCAGCTGAGTCAGGGACCCTGCGCAAACGTCAATAGCGAGGTAATAAACTCTATAACCAGAAAAAAAAAAATTATTTACAAAACAACACATATGATCAAAACAATAAGAGAGAGAAGAGGAATTGTAACGGCTTGTGAGCCGATTGTTGTGTGGCACGTGATTGTATTCACGTGCTTCTATAATTCTACAGAAGTCTAGTTTTATTCCAGATCAGTTCAGCTGTAACTGGAATATTCTAGTAATTGGTAGCAAGACTGGGAACTACTATGACAGGAATATACGAGAAGCAGGTATCAGTCAAGAACAAGTATTCTAGAGATCTTCATAAATGTATAAATAGTTGAAGTAATACTCTGATAGTTAGCCATAGAGAAAATTATAAACTACCTTTGTATATCTGATTGCTTAGCATCAACACTCTAACTGTGACAGCAGTGGTAACTGCAAATGAAATCCGAGGCATGAGCGTTCTTCTTGTAAATTGAGTCATCTATCATAAACTTCTCTGATATTGTGTCATAGCTAGATAGTTGCATACGCAATTAAAATCTGATGCCAAAAAAAAATGGATGGATGGTGCGGTATTTCTGAATGGATCTATTAGCAGCATCCCGAAAGTGGTTGTAATATGTCAAAGGAGTGAAGAGCCTCGGTGATTAGCGGTAAAGGTGTAGGTGCTATACTACACGCAACCATGTAATTAGAGAATTGCCCTGCAAACCTAGTTTGGAAGTAGCAAGGTCAAACCCACCAGGGCAGTAAGCAGTGGCGTCCATGCCTCTAGGTAATTTAGTGGGTAGTAGGGCCCTAAGCCAAGCTTGGCGCCTCAACGGATGTTATGATAGGTCTATGATTCGGGTGTACGTAAAATTTGTGGGAGCTAGCTGCTAGTGATCACTGATGGGCTGCTGAGCCGGACAGGTCAAGAAGTGGAGCAGAGAATGATCTCTATTGAATGAGGAAAGACTGAATTGCTTGCTCTATCTACTTTGGAGGAAAGCTCTCCACTTATAGTCCCTAGACTATTGCTTACTAATGATACTAACTCTACAAAGCAGAAGCAAACAGAGCAAATGCATGCAGTTGCGTGACCATCATAACTTGAGCTGTGCACTGTAGCTATGTTGGTCCAGGCACAACAACAGGCAATAATTGAAAAAAAACTGTTGAAGTGTCAGCCTTACGCTGTTTTATGTCACATGACTTTATCCTGTAGCGTTTACATTACTTTCTAGCGTTGTATACTAGCCATTCTTATACCTGTAACTTACACATCAATTAACTTATATTACATTCTATATACGTCCTTTAAGAGATTATGAGACCAAATTGCTCATTAAGTTAAGTGTAGTTATCAGCTGTCCAAATTTTATATATACCTACTGCCACAGTGTTGCACTCAAATTTATATTTGCTGAAGAAGTTCTAGCAATAAAGTGTTATAGGCAGTTTATCAGGTACATCGGACAGGTCGATTGACGCGTCATATACGTCAGTCTTAAGATTAAAAGATCTTTCAGCGACCCAATACTCAATAAATTGAGAATATTTTGGAGCAATGTCACAAGACGGATCCCTCTACCTATCCTCAAATCTTAAGCTTACAGGCGAGGAAAACTATTCAACATGGAAGAATAGTATCATAAACCTAGCTTTGATTCACGATTTGTCAGATCATTTTCACCCTCTGGCTCCAGAACCGCCTGCCAAAATAAATATATTCGACGAAAAACTAAAAGCAGAAGACATCGAAGAATATAAAGCGTGGGCTAAAAAGGATGCAAAGATGAAGTTGATAATAACAGGAAATATGTCGATGTCTCTGGTAAGACAAGTTGAAAATCTCGAGAGTGCCAAGTCAATGTGGAAAGCTTTGCGGAATCAGTTCGAGGGATCCGGCATAGTCCTCTACATGCAAGCTGCGGCCAAATTTTCGTCAATGAGATGCTCAGATTACACCAAGTTAGACGACTTCATACTTGCTTATAGACAGACTATGGAAACATTGGCTCAATTTAAGATGAAAGTTCGAGATCCTGATGCTGTTATATTCTTCGTTGAAAAAGTTAAAGATGACTATCCAATGTGGGCAATGAATATGAGGACGCGCCTGAGAAGTTTAAAGGAGATTGAAGACATCAAGATATCTTTACTTGATGAGTTTATACGCGATTTGAAAGATGAATCACGGGAGAATTCTAACAGTAAACGAGCCCAAATGGTCATGTATCAACAACCCCGCAGTCAAGAACATCTAAACCCTAACCAAAAAAATAAAGAAAAAGCCAAGCCCAAGATATACAATTGTAAAACTTGCGGAAATCTGAAGGCAAAACACCCTCAGGACAAATGTTTTGAAAATCCTAAGAATAAAGAGGCTAAACTGGCTTGGGAAAGAAAACACAACAAGACTTGGAAGCCTTACAAAAGTTCAAGCTCCAGTCAAAACTTCAATGAGGCTAGGACATTGTTCTTCGACGAAAGCTGCGTCGTTTTGACCGACTTAAACCCTGTGGTCATGGCTAATAATTCACGGGCTGCCAGGTCAGAGTTTTGGATATACGATATAGGAGCTAGCTGCCATATAACAAACTCTCTTGACAAGTTTGACAAAGGCACCTATACAAGCATCGATGATCTATGTCTCATTAACACTGCAAGTGGACCCATTCGTCCCCGAGGCAAGGGTACTGTCACTCTACAGTGTGTAAATTCTAGCGGAGCTATATACCCATTTAGGTTAAAAGACGTTAGTTACTTGCCAGAATGTCCAATCAATCTCTTTAGTGGCGTTCGACTTTATAAAGCTGGAGGTTATGCCCAAAAGCACTTACTATTCAGCCCTCGTGGATTAGAATTTGCTGAGTTCGATGATTCGATGGTGATACAGGAATACGTGTCCATGAATGCCTTTCCGGTTTTGGAACATCAACCTAGACCAACTCTCGATCTCTGGCATCGTCGCTTGGGACACTTGGGCGTCAGAAATGTGAAGGCTACCAAACAAATTACCACTGGTATTGAGTATGACGCAACACCCACAGAACCAAGCTCAAATTTGTGTGAGGCCTGTGAAATTTCGAATCCACTTCGGCATGTACGTAAAACTGTCAGCCCTAAAGATTACAAACCCTTTGACTCTGTTTCTGTAGACGTTGTCATGATAAATCCAAGAGGGAAAATTCTCCTAAATGATTCTTGGATCAATGTTAGATACTGTACAGTTTTTACGGATGCCGCTTCTTCAGCACGCTGGGGCCATTATCATGACCACAAAAATGGCTCATTTGAAGCTGTCGAAAATTTTAACACAATGGTTTCAACTCAGTTCGGAATGGTAGTTAAAGCATGGAGGTTAGACGGTGGAAAGGAGTTTTCGCCATCTCGTATGGGAACTATGGCCTCAAAGTTAGGTCAAATTGTTGAAATGACTACCCCATACTCTCCGGAACAAGATGGACGAGCGGAGCGTTCAATCGGCATAATTGTTTCACGAGTACGAACTGTCTCTATTGACCAAAACATCCCGAAGTTCTTGTGGCCAGAATTAATGCGAACTCAAATAATGATCGCTAATAGAAGCGCGACGTCAGCTCTTCGCGGAGAAACACCATTCCAATTTTTGAACAGGGTCTGTCTCAAAAAAAATGATGTTCCGGACCTCAGCCATCTCCGTGTACTTGGGTGTAAAACTTATGTTCAAATCCCAGCAGAGAGACGAGTTTTATCAAGGAAGCTTGACGATCGAGCCGAAATAGGCATGTTAGTTGGTTATGAAGGGCAACATATTTTTCGGGTTTATATTCCCAGTCACCGGAAGGTTATTCGATCTTCGAATGTACGTGTCGATGAAAAATGCTCCGTTAACATACCCCAACAACAAGATGAATATTGGGAATCATCCGATCAATCTCAGCCAAGCCTTACATTTCCGCTTGATGGAAGTAGGGAGGTAAACCAAGAAACTTCCAAAAATTCTCAATTTCAGGAAACTCAAATTGATACCAAATTGCCTGAGTTGACTCCATTTGAAAAGCTGGGATATGAAAAACATCAAACTCTCAACAATGAAGTGGATCAAAGTGAAACCGAAAAGAATAAGGAGGTTGGAGGACTTGAGGAAACCGAAGAAATTGGACATTCATCACAAGCACAGAAACCACCTGAAATACAACCAGGATCTAGGAATAAACTTAAAGTGGCAATCGAACCGTCGACTCGTGTTCTAAGATCCAATCGTAACAGGAATGTCAACGAGGACACAGCGTTTGCAGCATTCATTGCAGCAGCAAGTTCAACCGAGATCGACCGAAACGAAGATGATCCTAAAACCATGATCGAAGCACTTAGTGGCAAATACAGGATGCAATGGAAAGAAGGATTTAGGAGAGAATACGATTCGATTGGCAGAAATAAAACTTGGGTTGTTATACCTCGCTCTGAAGTTCCTCCAGGCATAAAGGTGCTTAGTGGCAAGATTGTGCTGAAGACAAAAAGGGACAAGAATGGTGATATTCTGAAATATAAGGTTAGATGGGTTATCCGCGGTTTTGAGCAACGATTCGGACGCGACTTCACCCAAACTTATGCTGGAGTGTGTCGAAATACCTCTTGGAAAGTGGCTTTATCTATTGCGGCCATGTTTGATCTAGAAATTGAACAGTTGGAAGCTGTCACTGCATTCTTGAATAGCACGGCCGATCGCGACGATATTTACGCCGAACTCCCTCCCAATTGGCGGGAACCAAGTATGGACCCTAGGGGTGACTACGTATGTAGGCTACTTAAGGCTTTATATGGTCTCAAACAGTCACCAAGGTTGTGGCAAAAGCACTTACGCAAATGCCTAGAAGAACTTGGGTTTTCATCTCTTGAATCTGATAACTGTGTATTTATTCACAGTGAGGATCGTCTCATAGTTGTTTCCTACGTGGATGATTTCCTTCTGCTTGGGAAATCAAAAGAGAAAATTTCGAAGATGAAGATCCGACTCGCCAAAAAGTTCCAGTTAGAGGATTTAGGCCCAGCCCAGTATTTCCTTGGTGTCCGTGTTACTCGAGACCGTGTAAAAGGGCGCCTATGGCTTACACAAGACGCCTATTGCCGTCAAATCCTTGAACGTTTTGGTATGGAAAATTGTCGCCCTGCAGAAACACCTATGGCTCCTGGCTATGGAACGTTTCTAGTCCCTAATCCAGATCAAGCGACTGCTGCCGAAATAAGAGACTACCAGTCAAAAATAGGCTCCTTATTGTACCTTGCGGTTCATACTAGACCCGATATTTCATATGCAGTCTCGGTATTTTCTCGGTATCTCTCCAATCCATCTTCGAACCACACCAAAGGTGTCGATCATATACTTCGTTATATGAGGGGTACAGTAAGTCTCGGGATAATGTACGATGCAAATGCATTTGATACAACACTACACTGCCACAGTGACTCTGATTGGGGTGGAAATATAGCCACCAGACAATCCACCGGAGGAAGTGTCTTCTTTCTTGCTGGAGGAGTGATTTCGGCCTCATCGAAGGGACAAACCAGCGTTGCACTTTCCTCAACGGAAGCTGAGTATTATGCTCTCACTGCCACTATCCGGGAACTCCTATGGATTCAGCAATTGATGCGTCAGATGGGCTACTCCAGCACAGATATATTATCCACAAAGGTCTACGGTGACAATCAGGGCAGTCTAG